TCTGATCTGGAAAATATGCAACATTGGCGCTGAGTGAGGACACTCAGGATTTTTCAATGGGGGAGATGAAGAGCATGCACACTGTAGAGGGGGTGAAAATGGCGGGAAAGGCCAAGAAGGAAGATGTCAGCATAGCCGCATAAGCAGCCGGCTGGACACGTCACCCACATAGCCGTGTGAGTCACCAGAGCCGAGTGAGTCAGCAAGAGTGAGTCATCTGGGTGCTAGGCAACGCGGCGCCGAGTGACTAGGCAACGCGGCGCCGAGTGACTCAGTGGCTTGTCCGCAGCAACGGCTGAGGTATATAAAGGGCCCCCATGTAGTAGGTAGACCAGTGAATCCCCCCCTTCGGGTTCCCTCCCCTTTCGCGCCGCTTTGGGCCAGGGTTAACGGAAGCCGTCAACGACTAAGCGAGTACTGTATACGATCACGATCACGGCCCCCCTGGGGTATTGTATTGAAGAACACCTGTCAACGTCGTCGCCGCTGTCGCCGTCGCCGTCAACGTCAACGTCGTCGGTCCGAGAGTGAATAGGTGCCCTTGAGTTGTTACCCCGTTCCCACGCTAGAACTGCTGCGCGGTTCATCGAGTTCTTGCCTATACACCCCTCCCCTTTCGGTCGTCGGGTCTGGTACCCTTGAACCCACCTGCTTAGTCATCTCCGTGATCACGTGACCACACCGACTCTGTTTATGAGAAACAACTTGGCATAACCTTGGTTAGACTGTGACTATGCTCAGACGCATCTTGCCAAATATGGAACGTCGCCCTCACCTGATGGAGCGACCCATATCTGGAACATTATTGCTATATATGGCATATTATTTGATGCTCTTGATGCTGGCTTCAGTGCTATCAGCAACGACAATAACAAAAACAATAAATAACATATCAACAACAACAAATATATTCGATGTGACGGTGACTGTGACTACTACCCTTTTGGGAAGTTGCTTTGGTTTTGGTTTTGGTTTCGTATTGGGTTGGTGTTTAGAGGGAGTTGGTCTTTCCTCTTATGATATGGTGAGCAGGTCTTACATGTCTACACCCACACCCACACCCACACCCACATCCACATCACCCACATCATCACTATCATCATTGACATCATCACCACTTACATCATCATCACTCTCTATCTATCTATGGTTCCCACTCAGCTTTGTCATCTTCCTCTTCTTCTTATGGGTTGCAGCATGCATATACTTTGCATGGAGCCCTGACCTCACTCAGTTTGATTTAGTTGTTTGTGTTGTTTGTGGAGTTTCCACTTTCATCATAGCTTCTATTTCATGCGTTTCACTGGTAATACACGTAGAAAATGAGCAGTCAAGGAGATCACCAGGACCTTCAACTCAACTAATCAAATCCTAATTTTGTGTGGTTTGTGTTCGGGGTTTGAGCTGCAGGAAACAGCTAACAGATTCAGATATTCTTATTGATATCAGTTGAATTTAGGATGTTGTTTAACTGTGTTTGTGTCACAAACAACACCAAATCAGAGGATGCCAGTTGGCCAGTGAAGGCAAGCACGAAGCACCTTGAAAAGATATTGTAAAGATGATAGAATTCGAAGACTGGGGTACAAGACGAAATCTACTCTACTTATATATACTACTACCATGTGTTTACCATGCCTAATACGAGAGGCAATGACGTCATACTTTAGCCATGCCTTTACATGCTGTTTGCCTCATGTCCAACTCCACGCTGTCAATCAACATCAGCATCAACATCTGATGATCCAATCACCATCTTATCGTCCATCTTATCTCCTCCTTGTCTTATCTTATCAACCAGGGCCAAAATAAAAGGTTTAAAGGGCGAAGAAAAAGGGTTTTTGAACCCAGGGTTTGACATTACCCCCCCTTCAAGGTCGACATCCTCGTCGACAGAGGGCATTAAAGCGCGTTCATCATCCACCCCCCCTTCAGCCTCTATAAAATGGCCAGTCTGATAATTAAAGAGTTTCCGGGATGGATATGGGAGCTTCTCTTGTGTCGGCTTATAACGTTTGACAAGGTAATCCCAATGACCCTGGGCAAGGACAGGCACACTACGGGTCTTGACCACTGGATTCTTCTGGTTGAACTCGTCTAACAATTCTTGAGAGTTCTCAAGCCTTTGCACCGTCTCCCATGTATTCTCGCTATGCGGGTATCCCTTCCACTTCACCAGATACTGCCAACCACAACCACGCTTCTGCTTCTTCATAATCTCCTCAACCTCCCACTCCTCGTGATCATCCACAATGTCCGGTGGCGGCCTTCCTTCTCGCCGGTGGGGTGGTGGCTTGTGGTAGGGTGTCAGCTCTGTCTCATTGTAGACTGGATGAGCCTGACTAGAACCTGGCATCTTGAGTTCGTATGCCGAAGGTCCAACCTTTGCCTCCACTTTGAATGGTCCCACACGTCGATCATTGAGAATATTCAGGGCGACTCACATACACTTTGAGGGACCAGAAGATGATCTTCTTAGTCAGATCAAAACGACTAGAAGATTAGATACCAGTGTCAAATTGGCCCTTGAAAAGTCGCTGCCTGATTGGCGAAAAGATGGCGACCTGATCCTTTACCGAGATAAGATCTATGTGCCTCGAGATGATACTCTTCGTGAACGGATCATTCGCTTGCATCACGATACCCCACTTGTTGGACATCCAGGAGAATATCGGACCCAAGAACTCATTGAACAAAAATATTGGTGGCCCAGAATGGGTAACCAAATCAAGGAGTATATCTGAACCTGTGATGCATGCCAACGGACTCGATGGAGACAACGAACTCATGGATTCCTGAAACCCCATAGTCTCCCCAATGGACCATGGGAGACGGTGTCAATGGACTTGATCGGCCCACTACCAGAAAGTAATGGCTTTACAGCTATCCAAGTCTGGGTCGACTTGTTTACCAAACGAATCCATATCGAGCCCGTGAGCATCAAGATCAACAGCGAGGGAATCGCACGCTTGACACGTGATCGGATTGTGCGATATCACGGGGTTCCTCGGAAGATAATCTCAGACCGAGACGCCCGCTATGTATCCGACTTCATGCGTGAGCTTAATCGGCTGCTGGGAACAGAGATGAACCCAAGCACGGCATACCATCCTCAAACCGACGGTCAGACAGAGCGGATTTGGAATTTTCTGAAGATCTTCTGAAGATTTTCCCAGGATTTTTCTGTCACGGAAAATTTGAAATTTTCCATCAATCTTCTGAGAATCTTCTGGAAATTTTCTGGGTCAGAAGATTCGTAATCTTCTGCCACAGAAAAATTTCAGAAAATGTAGTACTCGGATCTCTGATTTGGCTGATAATATTTTCCCGGCATACAAGTCAGCTATCAAGGCAATCAGTCGGCATACTTAATCAACTCCAATCCTCTAATTACATTACATTGACCCGCAACCAGCAGGCTTTGCACATGCAATTTGGACTCTCCACCACCTATCTGCCAGCCATCTTCCACCGCAACAACCATGAACCTTGCTGCTTCCCCGTCCGCCATACTCAATGGACGACTTGGGAGAGTGCACGTCTTCAACCCCGTGTCGCTGTTGGATATCAAGCTGTGACAATGTGAGCATCAAGTTCTGCTTCAGAATCCACTCACAGTTCGACGACTAAAACTTTCCTCGTTGCGCTAGCAGCAGCCATTGTCCCAGCGCTGTCTTGAACAATGATGTGGCGCTACTGTACTGAGACAGGGCGTGGCCGCGCTCGATGTTGGCAGTGCCGGTGGCCAGGCCAGGTGGGTCTCTTTGTGCAGCACATTAGTTTGAGTTGGGGCGGGGTAGGCTTATGCCGGGCGATGGTTGAGGCCAGTACGCAGCGTTGGCGAGGCCGCGCTCACTGCTTCAAATGCGAGAAGGTCGCCAGCCTTGTGCCAGTGTATTCGTTGCCGGGGCGGTGCCTTGTTGTTGTTGCCATCTATGTAGCTTCCGCCCAACTTCCGCCCGCGGTTGTTGTGAATGCAGGGCGGCAGGTGTTAGCGCCGAGATGCTCGAGGGATTTTGAGCGGCTGCAGGCCCCGGGCCCGGGCCTTTTGGCGATGCAGTTGAATGCTTGGCACGACCCAGTTCATGAAGGTGTCGCCGCTTGCTCTATCAGAACGGAAAAGCTATGGCAACATTAAAACTCACCAGTGCCTCGGTCCCGACTCATAAGTATAACCCGTCAGTGCCAACTTCCGTGTCCTTTGACCGCGGCAGAACTGGCCAACACAACTAGTCAGCAAGACAACGAGAGGATTAAGATGCCGACTCACCTTTGTCCTCCGCCGCACAAGCACCAACAACGCGTCTCCAGAAGCCTAGTTGGACCAGGCCAGCCAAAGCGCGAGCAGCGGCGACTCATTTGCTGACAAGGACAAGTCTGCTGTGTCCCGCCGGGGCCACCTTGCCGGGCACGGCAGCGTAAATGTCGCGGCAGGTCTTGCTTGCGGCGGGAGATGTGGCAGAGCGAGAGAGGTCAGCGACACGTGTGGACACGTGCCCGGCCCTGGTCGGAGGTCCGAGGTTGCAATGGGCCCGCCTTGTAATATACGCAGAGCACAGTCTTGGGATCGACACCGAACGGGATCTTTTGCACGGCCTGGACGGGCTTGAACAGCTCGGCCTCCTCCTTCTTCCTTTTCTCCTCTTGCAATTTCTCTTTCGCCCGCAGTTCCTTTTCGCGCTCCTTGGCAAGGGTCTCCTTCGATTTACCGGCCAGCGCCGACTGCTGCTGCCAGTGGATTCGCGCAACTTCTTGCTTGACCTTGGAGGATTTGTTTTTCTATGGAACGGCCAGTTGAGTTTGAGTTGAGGTGCGGGTCGCCAGATAGACACATTTTTCATCCCGAAAGTCTATCGGGCGGTTTAGGGTTTAGCGATCGTGGTGGAAGGGTTTTTAGTGAGGACACACCTTGTCCTCCTTGACCTTCGAGGAGCTTGCTTGCTGCTGCTTCTTTGGCGGCATCGTCTGGGTTCAGGTCGTGGAGTAGGTGGTGCTGGTCGATGGTCACAGCTTGTGACTTGCTCGCTTCCGGCGCCCACGACTCGATTTCTTGCGTACGGCCGAAATGTCCTTATACCCTCGTCCGACGCTCCCTGAACTTCCCATTGGCCGTAGTGAATTCGAGATTCTCAAATCCTCGCATCGATTTCTACGCGAAGACCAAGACCAAACCCAAAGCCGCTTCGTGGGATGACCAGCTTGCTGAAAAGTACTATGAAAGTCTCTTCCGAGAGTTCGCAGTCTGCGACTTGAAGCACTACAAGTCCGGCAATGTGAGTTACTCCCTACATCACAGCTATTTGTCTGAATAACACTCTAGTTTTCTCTTCGCTGGCGGACCGAATCAGAGGTTCTGTTGGGCGCTGGTGAGTCAACATGTGGCAACACGCCGCTGCGCTCACCACGATCCCAAGAATGAACACAAACATAAACGTGGACGATTAACGACCCTGGAGCTGCCCTTTTCGTATGAGGAGCAGGGAGAAGCCAAAAGCGCGCTCGTCAAGACGGTCCTATGTGAAAAGTGTCTAGGAAAGATGATGTGGAAACGTCGGAAAGAGAAGGAGACATCGGGAACCGAGGAGAGAAGGCCTGTTGAAGAAGTCGACGACGAATACGGGCCAATGGCCCCGACGACCTCCACAACGCATGGAAATCGAAACCAGGAAGAACCAAAGCCCCATATTTCCCATTCAATGTCTCCCCCCTCAACACAAACCTCGTTCCCATTCACAGTCACGCTCCCCAAGACGGCGGGACCATAACGAAAAGCAGTCACGACACCGTTCTCCTACTCGATCCACGATATACCACAATAGTCATAAATAACGCGTTCAAATGCGACCCCGTTCCGTTCAACTAAGCGCGTGGGCGGCATCCCTACCTGGGCGTTGAGCAAAGTCGGAAGAGCACAGCACGTGCCCAGATCCCGCCCAACAGCAGCTAAAGTGGTGCGCGCGGCGCTTCTGCTTGAGGATGTGGGTGGGATTAGCTGCAGCTCCCCGGTCCCAGTCCCGGTCCCGGTGCCGACGCCGCCGGTTGCTGTTGCACGTTCTTCTCTTCTTCCGCACCTCTACGCTGAGCTGCTTGCTCCTCCTCCTTTTGATTCACAGCTAATTCCCACTCGCCTGCCTACTTCCCCTCGCCGCCCTCATTTCTTCTTCTCCTCCGCTGTCCGCCCCCGCCGCGGCCTCCCGCCTCCTTCGCTTCTTCATCTTCCTGCTTCTCGCGCTGCTGCCGCTCCATCCATCCGCCCACGCCCGTCAGCGCCGACTACGGGTCATTCTTTCAGCTCAGAAAATACCCATGGAGCAGCGCGATCGAGTATCGGCTCGGCGGGACTGTGACACTGCAGCGAACTGGGTGCCAACGAAGTAGATTCGGACGCGTGGCAGGGGAAGTGCAACGCTCGAGTCGTAGTAGCGCCCGATTGCAGGCCCACCGCATTGTCCACGACAGCACTCACGATAGTAGCATGAATGTGCGCCTGGACTGCCGTGGCCAGCTACCGTAGTAGTCCGTCAAATGGACAGTGACGTGGGAGATGCTCGCTTGGGTATACTGTATGCGAGCAGTGTTGATGAATGTCGTGAGGAGTGTGGTCGGTAGAGTGTAATGTGATATTGATTGGAGCCCAGAGCTATGTCCATTGCTGTCCTGTAACAAGTCAGCAAAGAAAATCTCTAAAAAGGAGAAACACACCTCATAGCCAAGCATCCAATGCCCACGGCGCTGTTTTGTGTTCGACGAAGGGACATATGTAACATAATGCACGCGCTGTTTGAGGTCCTCGACTCCTCGCTGTTCCAGCCAACATTGTTATGTTTTGTGGAGACCGTGAGCTCATTCGGCATTCACATCCGAGTCTGCCATGACCTTTTCGGACTGAAGATAGTCCAAAGACCCAGTCGTAGCTGAAGTCTGCCTGGTTAAACGGGCGCCACAATTGGCGACTGTGAAGGGATTTTTCTGTGAATAAAGCAAAATTCGAGATGTAAGTTACGCACCCAATGATAATATATCCTCGGTGGGGCGGTCAAGTGTAGACGCGTTGTCCAGGTCCGAGTCCACGCCAAGTCAGAGGTGGACTGACTCCTTGCTGGACACAGGGTCTGCGGCAGTGCGATGTGCGGGGCGGCGGGCGGGCAAGGAGTCGAACGAGCTGGGCGTCGTGGAGATCTCAGAGATATGATGTGGGTGTGGCTGGGGGGTCGACTAGAGGCGGCAGAGAGTTTTCGCGGATTGTCGCCAGCCCGAGGCCAGCCAACCAGCATGTCACAGTGTTACACTGTTTTGAAACAGTGATTACTAAATCGATAGTCTTTTTTATTATATATATATATCTACATTTCTATACTACAAAAAGTATACTAACTACTAAGACATGGTGGCCAGGATGATAGAGCTGTCTGGCAGCTTGATAGGGTGTTGTGCCGGGTTGGGTTCAGCACTGGGCTGATTTAGAAATTTTCCTATTCGGAAAGTTATTGAATAAAGGTAAGTAAAAGTAAATCCCAGATTTATTTATTAATATTTTGTGTGGAAAAACTGTGATATAAATCATAGCTTTCAATATAAAGAAAACCTGTGAACAAAGCTGTTCTTTTTCCAGTAGAGAAACTTGAAGCTGTAGACTGTACTGTATATGGCTACATATACGGCCGTGTACAGTATGGCCTCTGACGGTGCCGGGACGGCCTCATGCCGTACTGTAAGCCCCCGAGTTCAAGGCACTTACAGTACAGGACAGTGCCATCATGCTATACTGTAGTATTTCGATTAGATGTCCGTGTTACGCGTTATATAGGCATCCAGACCGGACTTATTTGGACATTGTTACGTGTTGCAGAGTCATGCAGACATGACCCATATTTGTCCCAAAGGGGCAATTTAAATCTAAATTGTCTCCTCGGTTTATTTTTGGGTTCAATAATTGTTGATGGCTTCATTTTGTACTGGAAGATGGAAAAATTACCACCAAATGTGCCCTTAAAGCCAGGATGTGCACTCAGTTTTACTAATAAAACTGTGGCTACTGGTGAAGGGCTGTACTCATAAAACCTGGGGGAGCTCATGCCAGCCATGGCCGGAGTACTGTGACAAAAAATGTGACATTCAATCAATTGTGAATATCTCAATGAGTTTGACAGCTATGACTAAGATATTACCAGATATGGAAAGGCAAATCACCATTTTTTCAGGCCGAAGACCCGGATAAACATCTAGGTAGGGCTGTGATCTAGGGCAAAGGTATACACCCTAATTAGGCTAAAATTGATGTTTCCTGACATAGCCATCAATGGTACTGATGTCCATCAAAAATCGTTCCACATTGATCACTTTATCTTGATGCCATCAATCTCATCATCAATACTATGATCTAACACCCAAAAATGAATAAAATAGTTTTTTAAAAAGTGTGACATTTGTGACCCTTAAGCCCTTCCCCCGGTTTTTATGAGTACGGCCCTTCACTAGTAGCCACATTTTTATTAGTATTCCTGAGTGAATGAGCTGTTAAAGCCTCAGTTTGAGGTATATTTGTGTGTCAGATATGGCTGGACATGGCCAGATGCAGACTTATTTTGATGTTGATGCTGGGGTGCTCCCCCTTTCTCTGTGTAGCGTGTCACATCAGAAGTGGTGCTTGTTGAATGTCAATGTGAGTGATGATGTCATACTCAGGCCGCCAGTAGATGCAAGAGTGATGGCGATGTCCGTTTTGTGCAAGTCCGATATGTCTGTCCCGTGTGAGTCCGTTCCATATGCCGAGTAAGTGTTTGCTGTGGCTAACAAGCCTTGGCGTCTGTGTTGTTCCGAGATTGGCGCAGGCAGGACATTCGCTGTTGGTAGTCCCCAGCCGTAGTGTACCGTGTATCGTAGTAGCGATCCTGTTATATCCCGTGCATCTTCGGACGCTGCGAGGTTATCCTTGGAGCACAACAGGGTTTTTATGCAATGAAGGTATCTGAGCGTTTCCCTTCAAACAGTTAATCTGCACGCAGACCTGTTCGGACCCTCTGACCATCAACTCAGATCTTTACCCATTTGGACTTGTGTTTGTTTACTTATATTCTTTAGGCGTTCACCTTGTTTCCTTTGCCTCGTGTATGTCTTCTCGTTCCCCTTACTTACTATGCCTTTGTACTTATCCCGCAGGGAGATCCTGCGGACCTCATCGGATCTCCCTGCAAGGTCATATGCCTTATGCTTACCACTTAGTATAAATACTCGTACTCTACACTCCTGTACTTCAGTTTCGTTATTAACGTTTCTTGCCTCGCTCTCTGCTCTCGTCCGACTCCTCCCCGCGTTCTAAGCCTTATCGCCGTCGGCTTCTCCGAACGTATCCGCAGGAGTTCACGTATTTGTTCAGACTTGCTTTCGGCCTGCAAGACGTGTAGTCGCTCACTCCGATATAGTGTTGTGATAGCCACTCAGTTCTGCTTTGGACTTTCCGTTACTTCCCTTCGGTTCTTGCACGGCACTTAACAGTATAACGAAACTCAACTACTCGCCTTGCCATGTCTGGACACTTTTCCCCAATGACTCCCTCTCCCCAATGCGCGGTTCTGTACGCTGCACCTCACAACCCCCCTTTGGTTTCTCCTTTGGTTCAAATGCCTTCTCGGGATCGACACTCGCATACGGAGCAAGGCTTACAAGTCCGTGTTATGGCCGACCGTCGTCAATCCCGCTTGTTCAGTCAAGTACCTATTTTGCGCTCTCCTACTCAGTACGTCTCTTCCTCTCCTGGTCCAAACACACAATTCATTGTTCCCCCTCAATTCGTGGTTCCTCGGTACCAAGACATTCCTGTCAATACCGCTCCACCATACTTCATGCCTCAACCTCGTCGCCACTCATCTGATGCTATTTTCTTGGATGAATTGCTCCTCCCTCGGCCCCTCCGTAAATATGCCGCGGCTCAAACTTCGCCCCGTCTTCACGAAATTGTGGAGACTAACGAAGGTGTTGGTAGGGGAAATCCGGGAGGTGATGGCGGCAATGGTGGGGATGAAGGTGGGGAACCCGAGGGTGGAAATGAAGGGCCAGCAGGAGGCGGAGGACCCGATACCCCTCCGAACCGAGGCTCTCCCCTTCTGGGAGGTGGCCCTGGCGGACCTGGTGGACCTGGTGGCCCGGGTGGCCCCGGCGGTCCTGGTGGAGGTGGTGGAGGTCGAAGACCTGAGTCTTCTGCGTCTTCAAATATGAATGAAGATCACCAGTGGTTCCGTAACAGTATGGCTGCCCTGATTGACATTTTAACTGGCATTCGCAATGAATGGCCAGCAACGTCCAACTACTCAGCGGCAATCCCGGTCTAACCTTCGGACCCCCGACCCGTTTGATGGCTCTGAATCCTCAAAGCTAAGACCTTTCTTGGCTATTGTTTACCTGCATTTTGCTGAATGCCCTGACGCCTTCCCCGATGATGAATCTCGCATCATCTACGTCCTCTCGTACTTGAAGGGATCAGCACTTGCTTGGTTCGAGCCGGCCATCTACGATGCCGACCCCAACTTCTTGCCAGCCTGGCATAACAACTTTCCAGCTTTTGTTCAAGAGCTGCAAGACCACTTCGGCCCTGTGGACCCCGTCGGTGACGCCGAGACTGCCCTTCGGCATCTCCGTATGTCCTCCGGCGACCACATCTCGAAATACTTGGTCGAGTTTCACCGTCTTGCTTTGCTTGCTGGCTGGGGTCTAGTCACCCTTCGTTCTCAGTTTTACAAAGGTTTGGCTCCACGGGTTAAGGATGCAC